CTGATGCTGGCGTTGGACGGAGCCTTGATGAGACTCCGCTCTCCTCCGTCGTTCACTTTCTTCCACCGCTCGCCCATCAGGTTGCTCATACTACGGAGGTTGTAGTCATGGTCGACCTGCTTTCGCGACATATGGGAAATACAACACAGGACGGGGCTGCTGAGTTGTATTTAATGCTTAAAAGAGACACACAAAAAACACTCACCCTCTGAGCTAATTTGCCCCTTTTTATTGTGGAGCCAAAACCCCTCCCAAATATAACAGTGGCTGAATAAAGTTGCTCTCCAGCCTTGTGTGTATCAGTGTCACATCCCCGTGGTCCTGATGGGAGAGTTAACGATGAGTGGGTAGGAAAGATAAGACAGGAGGAGTATAGTGAACCAGTTCGTCACTAGAAGCGTCGGTATGACGCAAAGAAATGTTTTGGAAGCACGATGGAGTGGAGAGAGTGGATCATTTATGGAGAGGATGTAGCCTAGTCTGCTACAATTTAGTGACATCATTGGAAATGTATTCTGAAAATAGAAACGCCACAGCTTCTTAAGTTTTTTTTTAAAGCTAAAATATTGGGTTGCTGATCATGATGCATATGAGCTTTATAGAAACAATTCTATTTTGCAGTACAAGAAAAATCTTCACTTACATTACTATAAATATTTGTGCAGATATAGCAATATGACTATAAATGCAAATATATATTCTTGATCTTTAAACACATTTCAAATACACTTCATAGCTCATTGTTTCACCTGATACACTACAACAAACTCCTGTTATACAAGGAAAACAGCTGCCCCCTGCAGGACTGACCTTACTGTTACAGTTTCATGATTCTGTAGGATCGGTGGACATGTAGACCTATTTCTAACCTGACACATAACTTGATATAAAGTGTGCAACAAGTCAAACATTCCCAGTACCTGCATTCATGAAATGTGTTTCCTGAAATTCATTCATTTTTGTTTGTGAAAATAATGGCAGAATACAACCCCCCACACATATTACTGAGTTTAACTGATCTGAGATTTAAATTACAATAGTATTTAGGAGTAATGACAGGGCTAAAGGCATATCTCATGTTCAGGACGCTCTCCTTCACACACTCAACCACTCTCATTGTCTGCTGTACCTTCTCCCTTATTGATTAAGCTTAAAACATGGAAAAAGTCATCTGTGTGAATCTGCTGTGTAGCTGCTGCCTGGAGAAATGACAGGGTTTTTAATGCACCCATATGTGGAGTGGATCAATATGTGGACATTGGTGTGACGCAAAACCACAAATGAGTCTGCCCTGATAATGGCCAATGATTGAGCCCATTAGAGAAGAAGGACAAGGATGAGACAGCCTTATATACACAGTGGTGTACATGCTTTCATGGTGAAAACCTATAATGTCTCTTCTAGGGAAATAAATCATGTGACTCCAGTTGATTTAGCTGCAGGAACTATGGGAGCTGATGTTTGCCAGTCAGGCTGTCGATCTCGATCAAATTGTTTAATATTCAGTATGGATCACCGTGAATTTTTTCTACCGGAACTAACATCAGACCAACATCTTTACATCTTCATACACAGGGAGTATTGGGAATGTTTTGGCAGAGTCCCAAAAATGTACTAAATTCATTCATGCTCTTCAAATGATGAAACTTATGTAATAATCCTATATAAGCTCATATCAAATATACACTCAACAATAACAATACCAAAACTCAAATGGGAAAATGATTTTAACTCTCCCCCTCCCCCCGTCCTTTCTGGACAGAAATTTGCAATAACTGTCAGGTTTGGCATGTACAGATGCCAAACAGAGGTTGTGGTGAACTCAATTAGAAAACCAGATGAACCAAGGTAGCGACAAGTTCTTTACTTGTTGTAAGCAAAACAACTAACACAAAGTCCAGGATATCAATCAGGTCGATAAGACAGTCCAGGGTTGGCATCGGTAAACAGGTATAGCCAGTCAGAAACAGAGAGTCAGGCAAGGTATAAATGCTGGAGAGTCAGAGCTGGGGTCTAGAACAATCTGGCAGCATCCTGGTGGGAGGACGCTGCCTAAATAGAAGTAAAAAACAGGTGCAAACAATAAGGAGCAGGTGAACTAATGATGATTAAATAAAAGGGCCAAAACTGAGGTGAAACAAAACAGGAAGTAATGTGAAAATAAAAGCATGACAGGAAGCAAGAGGGGCAGGAGCGTGACAATAACATCTTTTCTATGACCAGCAATGTAAACTTACAACTTATACAATACAAGAGCATTTATAGGACCCATATTACAGAAAATAAAATGTTCAAAATGGGTTTCACTGACACAGACATCTGTTCACAATGCTCTCTAGGTTGCAACGACAGTTACTTTCATGCTACTTGGACCTTCCAACCAGTTCATTCCCTCTGGATAGCAGTGACAGAGAAACTCTCCACCATCTTGGGCTGTAGAATCCCTCCTTCTCCATCACTTTGCTTACTCGGTAATATCATAGAAATCGACCATCTACCATTTAAATATAAAAACCCACTCCTCATTTCTCTAGCTATTGCCAAGAAAACAATCTTTCAAAATTGGAAATCAAAAAAATCACTACACATAAACCACTGCACCAATCTGCTGACAGAATACATCACATTAGAGAAAATGACATCCACTCACAAGAATAGTTTATCAGCTTTTTATGACACATGGAACCCATGTTTAACACATTTCAACTTGAATCAAATACCTGGGGCTGAGGCCACGCACATTCCCACCAACCTATAGAAATGTAACAAGCTGATTTTATTAGTAGTACTGTTATCATCATTATTATTGGTAATTTTTTTCTTTTATTTACTTCCCCTCCTTATCCCTTTCTTGCATTTCATAGACTGCATAAGTTGGAAATACCCACAATTCACACACAACAACCTCGTTAAACACTCTATATCCTTTTGTAATGTCATGTAACTGTTGTCTTGTCTCCCATGTTCGGTACTGTTTTGTTAATGTGTTACTTTGTTTCAATAAAAAAAAAAACATGTATTGTTTGTCAAAATTCATTACCAAAATGTCTGATTTAAAACCAGAACTGTTAAAGTCACACCTGATGTAACAAACAAATGTATTTTCATGTTTTTAATGTTTTATCATAAAAGTGAGCCCAAACGGATTCTTATAGTTCATTTATTCATGTTAATTGTATACTTTTTAAATGTACATTTGTTTATTCCTTCTGGAATGACATAGTCGGTGTGTCTTGACTTGGGGATGGCTGTGGTTCAGGAGATAGAGCGGGTCGTTTCCTAACCGGAGGATTAGTGGTTCAATTCCCGGCTTGTCCACTCAACATTTCAAAGTGTCCTTGAGCAAAACACTGAACCCCCATTTGCTCCCGGTGATAACAACAGTGTGTGAACATTTGAGTGCAAATAGATGAATGGCCAAATAGTGTGAAAGTGCTTTGAGTGTGCTGCAATGCATTAGAAAAGCATTATAAAAGTACAAGACCATTTAACAGGGTGTCAGAGGTCTGTTTTTAAAAATATATGTAATGAGGTCACAAAATAATTCATTTCATATTTTATTTGTACAGCGCCAAATCACAACAAAAGTCATCTCAGGACACTTTACAAAGTAAGGTCTACACCTTATTATTACCAATATTAATATAGTGGAAATCCCAACAAATCCCCCTTGAGCAAGCACTTGACGACAGCAGGGAGGAAAAACTCCCTTTAACAGACAGACCCCAGCTCTTGGTGGGCGGCCTTCAGCCTTCTGCCTTGACCGGTTGGGGTGAGAGGATAGAGGAGAGAGAAAAAATACAGATATGATCTGTTAGGTATTTTTAGTCAGATAGATATTGGTCAGATACTTTATGTATTAGAAATGTTTTAGAGTAGACAGGATGTTACTGCAGGATGCTTATGGTCAAGGATAACTAGATAGAAAAGTGGATAACTGTCAGCAGACAGGATGTTTAATATTATTACTATGACATGTATAACTGTAGCCATAGTCATAATATTTTCTTATGTTTAATGTTAGGACATGTCACTAGAGGTCGTGTTAGAATGTTTTTTAGTTACACACCACGATCAACAGACATTCACACATTGATTTTCATCATGTTTTGGCTACTGCCCAGGGCAGCTGCAGAGCTGTCCCCGGGGGGAC